CTGCTTATCTGACCTTGGGGTTAATTTGCAATCTTTGAGCTGTATGATTCCCTTTCTGGAGTCAGTTAACAAAGTTAGATCCTGTATTTAAAATCTGATTCTTATTTGCATTTTTTGACCTCGAGGCCAAAAAGTTCTTTTGGTTTTATTTTGTTAATAATCAAATTTGCCCTTCCTGTTTTAAGGAGATTGTCACAAAGCAATAACCGAGTCGCATTCTCAGCCAAACAAACCTTAAACTGAGGTTATGCTTGCAAACATTAAGATCCAAAGTGAAGTGTGACCACATTTTCATATTATTTTTCCAGAAAGACAAACATAATGTGTTCAAAGTGAAATAACAACGTAATCAAAGTAAAAAGCACTGCGGCTTTGTTTTCTAACCAAGGCTGAACCATTTATATGCCAAAAACTACTCCTTTGTGTAATTGTTTATCAGCATCCTAAAGATCTGAAATGAACAACATCCTTTGAGAGGAACCGTGTTCTTTCTTCACAACTAAACAGCAAGTGGGACTGAACGCCTCTGTGCAGTCCCACTGTTGATAAAATGTTATGTTTGATCTAAAAAGCAGGAAACAGAACAACAACAGGAATTTATTCATTCTTGAGGGCTTTACCCACAGGATGAGTGGGTTGGTGAAGAGATTTACCGGTTCATCTAGTTTACGTTGCAGAAATAACCCGCGAAGTAGCCAGCTTTATTTTTTGCAACTATTATAGTTTTATAGCGAGGCGACGGTGGCACAGGAACTCAGAGTTCGCCCCGTAAACGGAAGGTTGCAGGTTTGTGTGAACAGGTGAATGACTGATTGAGTTGTAAAGCGCCTGGTGGTGGTGGTGGTGGTTGGGGGGGGGGGGGGGGGGGGGGGGACCAGGACTAGTAGGCACTATATCAAATACAGGCCATTTACCATATTAAGCATTTAATTTTAGGCCGTAAAACCCCTCACTACACACTTTATACTCCTTTCTCAGACAGACATTACTATTTTCACACTTTTCTCTCTTGTTTAATGCACTGTAAAAAAAGCATGCTAAATTCTGCAAAAAATAAAAGATTTGTTTTTCCCTTAACTAATATTTTTCTGGGCTATCTGAATGTTTTTACTCATAAATAAAAAAACACTAGAACACCAAACACACACAGCAGCATGAAAATGTTCCGCCCCTCTCCTGCCCTGCCACCGCTGTAACTGTTAAAACCAGGGGAAACCCTGGAAGTGTTCTCACCAAGCAGACTTTTCAGAAGGTCACATATAATGATCTTCTTTGACGTTTTCTTCTTTTAGATCAACTCTTATCGTCAGCTTGTTCAAACAGCGGCTAGATCCGGACTCTGATTGGTTATTTTCTCGTCTAGTCCCGCCTCTCTCAATTGCTGATTGGCTTTTTTCTGTTCAATTATCTTTCCCATTGTCTGATTGGATTTTCATTCATCTCAATTGTCGTTGTCTCCTTTTATTTATTGATGGGGGGAAAATCCTTTTCTGCAGTCACTGGAAAAAACCTGTGAAACAGCGAAGCTGTGAAGGGTGAACCGCATTATAGCGAGGGATTACTGTACTCATCTATGGTCACGAGCTTTGGGTGGTGACTGAAAGAACAAGATCACAGATACCAGCAACTGAAATTAGTTTTATTCACAGGGTGTCTGGGCTCTCCCTTGGAGATAGGGTGAGAACCTCTTCATCCGGGAGGGGCTTGGAGAAGACCCACCAGTTGAGATGGCCTGGCCACCTTATTAGGATGCCTCCTGGACGCCTCCCTGGTGAAGTTTACCGGGCATGTCCAACCAAGAGAAGGTGTAAAGGAAAACCCAGGACGCGCTGGAGGGACTATGTCTCTCAGCTGGCCAGGGAACACCTTTGGATTTCCCCAGAGGAGCTGGTCCAAAAGGTTGGGGAGAGGAAAGTCTAGGCCTCTCTGCTTAGGCTGCTGCCCCCATGACCCAACCTCAGATAAGTAGACAAAAATGGATGGATGGATGGATGGATGAGCAGGTTTTGCCCCTTAAAAATACAACCTCTGCACTGGTGACCCCCACACATGGTGTAATTTAACTTATTCAGGCATAACCAATCAACCCCACACCTCAGACTTCCTCTCAACAATTAAAGTTGGAACATATTGTCCAAGGACACAGCTGGGTGGAGGGGAGATGCGTTGAAATTGCCATTTCACTATGATTATCATCAGCATGGAATTATTATTATCATCAGTAGAATCATCCTCATACAAAGAGAAGAAACTTCACATGTGCCTCGTCCAGAGCTAATCAGAGAACATTCGAGCAGCGTGTTGGAGGGGAAACACTGAAATAAATCTGGGGTTTGAACTGAGAGAGAGGGGGGAAATTCAGTGGAAGTGTTTGGAAATGCAAGATCCTGATGATAAACACTTAATATGGCCTGAAGGGATCGCTTTTCCCAAGGTTCTTTCAGTGTGTAAAAAAAAAAAAAAGAGTCTATTAATCTCTTTTTTGATAATGCTATATCCTGAAGGCAAACTCTGGTCCATATGGTCTGCTGCTTTTCATTTGGTTTAATTTTACGGCAAGAAAATTATTAAAATGTTTAAAGTCTCTGAAAACAAACAACAACAAAAAACAATTCTGAGAAAAGTATATAAACTGAGAAAACACAAGCAAAAGAATAACAACATTTTCAATTAGTGTTTGATGAAGGCTGGTAAATATTATAAATGAATTAAACCATGCATAAAAGCCAAACAGTGCCAGACAGTTAACAGCGACTACAACAATGCCAGCTATTAACTAATAAATACTTTAGACCACATGTGTCAGACCAGACACAAGCCCCGCGGGCCAGATGTGGCCCGTGGAGCATTTTTATGTGGCCTGTTCAGGAAATATATATATATATATATATATATATATATATATATATATATATATATATATATATATATATATATGTATGTATGTGCGTGCGTTTGTGTGTGTGTGTGTGTGTGTGTGTGTGTGTGTGTGTTTGTGTGTGTGTAGGGTTAACTGGATAAGCCCCGACTCAGCATGCATACAAAGCTGCATAAACACATTAATAGAGGCATGCATCTGTATATAGACGGGTATGTGTGCTTGGCCCCATCAGGGACTTGGAGATTTGAGATGAACGATGCCATCATCAGTGCTTGACAAACACGCTCTTACACATCAATCTCCCTCAGCCTCCAACACACAAACACAGCTTGAGATTTTAATCAGAGCGTGGCCCTCCTCCTGCTGACCAGGCCGGGGGTTTGCTTGGCCGACGTTTGTGTGTCTAATCAAGGATGAGAGGAAGTGGTGACAGAGCGAATGTACCAATTAAGGGGGCTGATTGGTCTCTATTCCACTGTGGCAAAAACAATCTCTCCCACAACAGATTGCAATCTGACAGCGCCAGATGTAATTCATTAATTATACTGATAAAAATGCAGCAACTCCACAGACCTCCACACAGCTTAGTAAGTTTGGTGATTTTATGATGGGTTATGGATTTTTCCCAAGGATGTCTGTTTAGTGTGTGAATGTATGCGCTTGTCGTTGTCTCAAAACAACAGAA